CCGCAACCCCGAGGGCATATTTGGATGCTTTGGAAACGGGGGAAATTGCCTGCTTTTAGAAAACTCTTTGAAACCCAAACCTACCTTCTTGTACATGAAAATTTCATAAATTCTGTCCTATCTTTTGTTTGATAAATAACATAAACATATGTCTGATCCACAGATTAATTACAACTATAAACATTTGTTATGTAATTTACTAAGTTGTCCTATCTATTTTTTGCAATTGGACAGATTAAGGATAAAAGGTTTTTTTATCATTATATTTTGGGTTGTCTGATTTCAAATGCACCCCTTAGTTGTTGAAACCTATAATCATTGTTTAGCCTTCCGGGCTGGGCTTTTAATTTTGAGTTTAAAAACCTTAACTTAACTAAACATGAGATTTAGCAATCTATTTTACTACTTTACTTATCGGCACTTTTACATACGCTTTCAAGTTCATCAAACAAACAAGCCCCAAAAGTTATAAATGTCCCGTAAAATGATGTAACTTGAATTATAAAAGTTATAACATTATTTTAAAAAGGGTTTTAAGAGGACTGGTACCCTTTTTAAAAATTATAGAGTAAAAAGTACTATTTTCAAAAATATAGGTTAAAAAGTACACAATCCGTTTCAAATCTCTAAAATATCCTCTTTAGTAGAATGAGAACCGATTCTTATATTTTTGTTTTCACAACCGAAACTTAAGGGATCTCAATGTTACACATAAATTCCTTCAATATTGCCGGAAACTCCATTCTTCCAAAAACCTCCATAAAACATCCTTTTGGATGTTCAAAACTTTATGTTAATCGTTGCTGAAGAAAGGATTTTTTCAAAAATTCATTATCCAAATCTTAACATTTGTCTGCAACATAAAGACACCACCAACCACAACCCAAATTTAAGGACATAAGTTCTAGAAAATTTACCAACACTATCGTCGATAACTCTGACGGACTGGGAAATTTCAAAGATCTGAAAGTTATGAGTTTCTGGCACTTTTAGCTCTTCACTAGAGAATTGATCAGAGGGAAAATTAGGACTTTGTTCAAGTGGGGTTTCACGGGGATTAATTGGATTTGTTGGGGGTGATTGGGGGAGGGGTTTGGGAGAGGGTTTTGTTATGGTTTTGAGGATTTTGGGGCAGAGATAGTTTTTTCTCTTGATGGGTTTTGATAGGAATGGAGTGAAAGTACAAGAAATTAAAAATATTTTTCTGTGAATGGGAGTGACTATAGTAGAAGGATGGAGAAGGATGAGAGTGGTTGAATTTTTTGGAAAAGAAGTTGATAACTTAAGAAAAATGTTGTTTCTCCCAACATTTTTATTTTCTTTACTTTTTTTTTGCTCAATTACCTTTCTACTTCTAGTGCTTGGTACTTCATGCACACCATATGTTCGATCATTTGCAAAAAAAAAAAACCAAAGAGGTTATATACTGATATGCGTCATGTCAATATATGCAATGTGACATTGACTTGCAATAATGTGACATTAGTTTCTAGCAATGTGAATTTGGTTTGTAACAACGTGAAATTTTTTAGTACAATTGTAATATTGTCTTGTAACACTGTGACATTATCGTGCGAAGTAGCAAATCATCCTCCGAATCAGAATCATCATCTTGATTATTACGATCATTCCCATTTGAGTCATCATCATTGACATTTATCCTCACATGAACATAATTGACATTAAGAGACCGTAACCATTTATTTTTTGAAAAAAAAAATTATGAACGACATTGTAGCAGTGTAAATTTGGTTTTTAGCAGTGTGACATTTTCTAGTACCAGTGTGACATTGTCTTGTAGCACTGTAACATTATCGTGTGAAGCAGCAAATCATACTCCGAATCATAATCATCATCTTGATTATTACGATTTATAAAAAAAAATTATACAAATATGAAAAGACATGAATGTTTGAATAACTTAAGTTGAATGAAAGAGAAAGATATAATTTAAAATTAAAAAATGATATTCCATAAACTTAGGAAACTGAATCCCTAATATAACTGTCATATTTGTCTCCCACTAATAAAGGAAAAGGGCAATTTCGTAATAGAAAAAATTACAATTCAACAAAAGTGTACCTCTTCACCAAACATTTACACATAAAGATACTTATATACAAATGTTTTATATTAAGGTACTTTTACACAAATAAGTATGATAAAATGTACCTTTTCACAATTTCCCCTTTAAAAAAGTTACAATTTTTTTTTTTTGATTTTAAAAAATTCAAAAAAATTTATCTCAACCCATAAAATTTATAAAACCTAGCCGTAATTCGATACAATAGTCTTCTCCAGTAAAATCGTACAGAAAGATCAGGCACATCTAATAAATCTTAAACCGTCTCATGTTGCATGTCCCCATGTATTTTCTGTTATAGAAAATAGGTATATAATTAGATTATAATAATGTGAAACTCGAGCATGCATGAATAGTACGTGGATATAAAAAAAGCTATTAGGAAAATATTTTTCTAGGGAATGTTTTAATATGAATGAAATTATTAAAAAAAAAGATTAAAATTAATTAAAAATTAAATTAATTTTCAGATTTAAGGTATTAAAAATTAAAAATTAAAAATTATTTTTCCAAACAACTGCCTAGCTAAGGAGGCTTCATGTCTTTTCCTAACACTCTAGAAGGCTTGAGGAGGTGTTGAAGACTTCCTCCATAGCTTGGAATGGATAAAATTCCCTTGTAGAGAAAGAAATAGAAGAGAGAAATTAGAGAGAGTGAGAGAGACAGAGACAGAGAAAGGATGAAGAATCAAACTTGGAGAAAAGCTTATTCGAGCTACAAGGGGTATACTTCCTACATAATTAGGACCCTAGTAGTTCATTTTTGGTGTTTAAATCGTGTTTCATACACTATAGAAACATGAATTCATGTTTTGAATAGTTCATTTTTAATGAATTTTGAAATAGGTTTGATTTTCTATTGAGTTGTGGTTTGATTCTTGGTTTGTAAATGATATTTGGGTGCTTGATATGAAGTTTAGGGGTAGTTTGAAGGGTGGCCATGGTCAGTGGTGGTGGTTCGAAGATGAAGTTCATGGTTAGGATTTGAGTTTCTTAAAAATTGAAGGTTTGAATCTTGGGTTTTTACAACATAAAGGGTATTGGGCTAGACTAAAACCAACCCTAGGTATTCATTGGTGACCTCAAAAATTGATTTAGAGTTCGTTTGGTGGGTGAAAAAGGCAACTGCAGGTCTAGCCCCAGTTGAAAAACCTTATTTTTTTTAAAGTTTGGTTCAATCTTTGGATAGATTAGAGTTTGATTCGAAGGGGCTCACCTATGGGGATCTGAATATGGCCATGAGGAGAGTGCACAAGCTCTAAAAAAAGGTCTAAAGGTGTTCTTTAAAGTGAGTTATAGAGGCGAGAAGAAGGGTTCTTGNTGCACAAGCTCTAAAAACAGGTCTAAAGGTGTTCTTTAAAGTGAGTTATAGAGGCGAGAAGAAGGGTTCTTGAAACAGAATTTTGACACTTAAGGTTTCTTGAGATTGAAGATGAAGTGGACCAATGGACTCCCCAACGGCGAGTGAGGGTGTGTCTAGTGTCTGATCGACCTCTGGTCAATGCCAAACATACCATAACATCCATGCGGAGGTCCAGGTAAAATTTCAAGTCGAACTGATGGCCGGATAAAAAATGAGGTTAAAATGATTGTTTCGGTCTTTGGGGTCAATTTGACCCAGTTTGGGATATTTTTGGAAAATAAACTTTATATTCATTATTAGGTAGGTTAATTGAGTATTTGTATGAAATTTTATTGAAAAATAATATCATTTTGTGTTTGCTATTTCGAATCAAAAAACAGCGCAGGATAGGGTTTCTCAATTCCAGATCATTCAAAACTTTTCAAGTTCATTTTGAAATCATGTATTACATTATTTATGAATGTTTAGCACATTTTAAAACTTATGATTGATTTTTTGAATTTGGGTTGCAAATTGTTAAAGTCGGAGGCTACTACATCGGTTCCACCTAGGGATCGAGCATAAAGTAGAGTTGTGTGTTGGTTGGCTGTAACAGGTAAAGTGTACTACTTCATAATAATTGAAAATAAAAGTATATGGCATATGAATTATTTTTCACTGTGTGAAATAAAGTTTGGATGTTTTGATGTACTTTGAATTGAGATAATAATGAATCTAATACGTTTTGTTGAAAAGCTTATGATTTATTGAAAATCTTTGGTTTGTTGAAAAATTTGTGATTTGAGTAGTATCCACTGTACTAAAGTTGGATCGCTTGACCTGGTTTGCATGTTGTTGATTTGGAAACTGCACAATTGTCGTGAAATAGCTTAACAATGCTTAAATGTTATAGATAGTTCGACATTCCTGACATTGCTTAAATTTTATTATGCTATTATATTGGAAGTGAATATGAATTTACAAACTGGGTTAAACCACTTTGTTTTTGTCGTTCTCCTCAGATTGTGAATATATTATAGTGAGATGATAATTGATCTATATTTTCAATAGGATTAATTAAGGATGTGGTCCCCAAAGTATTCATTTTGTCTCATTTTGGTCCCCAACCTTCTAATTGCATCAAGTTGGTCCCTCATGTATTACATATGCACTAACCTAGTCCCCGTCGTTGACTCCGTCCACAATTCTGACGGTTCCAAGTCATGTGCCATCCGCATGACCAAGGTGAGGGGCTTTTATGTCATTTACCCTCCTCCCAAAAAAAAATTAAAATATTTGAAAATTACCATCTTTTGGCATCAGGTTCATCTTCATCAAACTCATCCCCCCCTGATTTACAATTCTGGTAACTCTGTTTGAAATCCTCATCCCCAACTGATATAGAAGAATTCTCTGGTGTTGGTTATGAATCCATTTTTCCAGTGCCTTGTGATGCATATGATTGAACTGGGATGTCCTCGTTTGATCTTCTAATTATACCCATCATCTGATCTTCTTCGCTCACTCATCGACTGGGAGGATTGGTTGTAATTACTAGAAGCTTATTGGAATCTACCATTGTTTTGAGTGCTTTCAACAGTAGAAGTCTCAGGGGAGAAGCTCTGTATTGAGGAAGACTCAAACTTCACAGTTGTATTCATGGATGGTAGGCCATCTTGCTTGGTGTGTTCTTGATAATGCCAAACCTGTTGTTCCTGCAAATTTAAAGGGATTTAAAAAATGTTCAAGAATTTGAAAATAAAAAATCAAAAAATAAAAAGAATTGTAGGTGAATGAATCCAAGTTCAACACAAACCTTCGGAATTCCATTGTTTTGTGATTCAAACATTGATGTGGATGCTCTCGGAAGCCTTGTTCCGAGTTGAAAAGAGAAGTCTGAGTAGTTTTTCTCCTCCTGCTTAATACCCAGTTGGTTGTTGTTAGTGTTGCTTTTCCAATTAAAGGTGTGAAATGGAAGAGTCCCAGTGGTTGGAGATGGTAAAATCTGCATATATACAAGATAACAACAATATCATTTAACCAAGTTATACCCAAAAGTTATGCAATGTTGCCTAATCCAAGAAGACAACCTAGAATACAATTAAGAACACCACACCCTGATGAAAAAAAAGTGTCAAACCGCAAAATATGTTCAAACACATAGAACAGAAATTTAAAAATTTAGTTTTTGCTCTATCTTGATTTGTAAAAGATAAGAGCAGAAAAAAGCTTAAAAATACCAAGTGGAATATTATTTTTAGCTTCCTTAAGAACTAAAAATGGAGAAACACATAAGACCCCAAGCTTCTTTTTCATCTCCCCTCTTTTTTTTCCCTGTTTCGAAGCACCAAAACAGAGCAAAAGAAGGAAATTATGGAGGAAGTTCTATTAAGGTACTTACGTTGGAAGGGATAAAAGGATAGGAGAATCCAAAGCTCATCAGGGCTTAATCCTGCAGGGATAACAAAGTATGAAGAATGAGAGATAGCAGGTGGAGAGAGGAAGAGGGAAGGTGGGAAAATGACATAAAAACCCCTCACCTGGGTCATGCGGATGGCACATGACTTGGAACCATCAGAATTGTGGACAGAGTCAATGGCAGGGCCTAGGTTAGTGCATATGTAATACATGAGGGACCAACTTGATGGAATTAAAAGGTTGAGGACCAAAATGAGACAAAATGAATACTTTGGGGACCACAGCCGCAATTAACCCTTTTCAATATTCCCATTTATTATGATATTTAGTACACTGAGAAAATATTTTGTTTCAGGAAACTGAAGTTTAGAGTGGGTCCACTACAACTCTAGCAAAGTCGAGATGGGTGGTTATGAAAATTGTTTGCATACATATTGTACAAGAATGTCCATTTCTTTGTTGATGTTAGGGATGAATTTGCTAATGCTTTGTATTGTATTGAGTTATAGAGTTGTGCACTCCATCACAGAGTTTTCCATTTCATTGGTTGGTATTATTAGTGTTAATGCTTTCTTGCATTACAGGCGCATGTATTACCACATGTTGAGTTATACTTTCATCTTTTGAATACCAAATAGGTCTCTCGAGAAGGGGTGTGACAGTTTTTGGTATCAGACATAGTGTTTATAGATACTGTAAACATGTCGTGATCTAGTGTCTATAGAGGACCGAAAGAAGTATGTTGTTGTGTTTGTGAAAGTGGTGTATGAGTCATTAGTCAAGTTCAAAATTTCTAGCGATTGTATAGTGCATTCATACATCACTATATTATGTTATATATTGGCACTTTCTTACTGATACAGTGCAATAAAAACCACCATATGTTATTGAAGGGTATAATTTGATGCTTTAGCTGTGACATAGGGTCAAGCAGACCGTCAAATATATATATATATATATATATATATATATATATATATAGATATATATATAGTGGATTTGATGTTGCACATGAGTAGTTAAGGGTGATGAAAAGAGTAATTGAAAGTAGTATCACTAGACTGATTGAACAAGATATTTTGAATGACACATAATAAAGAAAATTGTCATTCTTGATAGTAGAGGATTTGAAAAAGACCGAAGTTTAATATCATGCATGTAATTGGTGTAGGGGTTTTGTATCATTTAATAAATGATTTTTCTCAATTGGATTAAGATACAACGTGTTTGAAATATTGTAAGCTAAGACATACTGTCCCTTTATGTTGATGAGTGTCTTGATTTATTTACATGTTTAGTGAGTAGTACAAAGAGTAGTGTTGGTATTATTATCAATAGCCTTAGTTGCTGGAGAGAAACTACCAATATTATTGTATGTTGTATATGTGTTATGACTTGATAAGATATTCAAGCTACTATTGAGATTGTGACGAGTACACTCTCCAATTCTGGTCAAGATTGCATGGATTTTGATATACCCAAGATTCACATAGTTGTCATATAACATTCCATTGGACTGATCGTCGACATTATTGTATACAAATTTATTTGTTGCTACTTTAGTAGGAAAGATAGTGCTAACAAAGATTATATATAGAGGTTGTGTGTTGAATGTGGAAGTTAAAGATTTATCTATTAATTTTATGTCTCTAGATATCTTAAATGTTGATATGATTCTTGAGATGATTGATTGTTAAAATATCATGCTATTATGGATTGTTTAGAAATGAGAAGATATTTCAGCTACCAAATGAAAGAGTATTAAACTTCTAGAGATCGAAAAGGGAGTTTTCAAATGTTTAGTGTACTCAGACAAAGGTAAGCTAGGCTACTTAGCTTATGTTGCGGACACTAAAGAAGGAAAGGCATAGTTGAGATATATTTTTGTGGTTTGGTTATTTTCAGATGTTTTTTAATAAGAGTTGTCTAAACTATCATTAAAGAGAGGTATTAGTAGTTTTGGACTACTTCATTTATATTTATTATTTTCATATAGCGTGGTTCTTGCTGAGCAAGAGGAATTGGGAATTCAATTGAGATATATCAGACCGAGGATTTATTCAACCTTGTAATTTGTCATGGGGTGCTCATAATGTGTTTTTAAAGAAAATGATGACATTGTGATGATGTCAGTTACTACCGATTGTCTAAGGCAGTGACATGTAGTAAATATCTTTTAACTGGTAATGATAAATGATTTGATCAATTGTGAGGAGCTAGAGTACTTAGTAAGATTGATCTTATGTTGGGTTATCCTTATCTAAAAGAAAGAAGTGGTATGTTATGAAAAAAGTTGGTCAAGTTGGGATGATCATTTTGTATTTTTGGTGATGTCGTTGAGGTTAACAAACGTTACATTTTTTTCTATGGATCGACTAAATTGTTGTCTCAACTTTTCCTTTATTCATATGTTACTTTATTTATTGGTGTTATACTTGTGTATTTCCACAGTGAGGGAGAAAATAAACATCATTTAAGGATTGCGCAATAGACTGTATGAGGAAAAAAAATTACCTGCTAAGGTGAGTAAACGTGAATCTTGGTTAGATTGAGTTGTTTGTTAGGACATTTATTTTTAGGTGATTGTATTTTTCTTGATCATAAGAAAGTTGATACAATGGTAAAGTGGAAAATACAAACGACAGTGATAGAGGTTTATAATTTCTTGGGGTTAGTTGGCTATTATTATAGGTTTTTATAAGAATTTTCAGTATTAACCGTACCTTTAACACATTTGACACATGAAGAATACAAAATTTGAATGGGATGATGTTTGCGAAATTAGTTTTCAAAAGTGAAAGAAGAAATCAATTTTTTTTTAGCCCTGGTGTTGACCTACACTTTGGGTAGTAGTTGATATGTGTTATATAATGATGCTTCTTATCAGATGTTGGACTAAAATTTGATATAGCATAGTAAGGTGATTGTTTACACCTTTAGACTGTTAAAAAAAACTAAAATGAATTACACTACTCATGATTTGGAGTTCATTGATATTAGGGTTGCTTTAAAGTAATGGAGACATTATTCATTTATATGGCTTGTAGATCATCGAGTTAGAAATATTTGTTTTTAACTCAAATGGAGTTGAATTTCAGGCAAATGAGATAGATGGAAATGATCAAGGATTGTGATTATTCTAGACATGATCATGCAGGAAAAGCTAAGGTTCTTGTTGATGCCTTAAGCATAAAAGTATTGGGAAGATTGCACTGTATTTACCTATGTGAATAATTTTATGGATTTGAGATTGATAAAGGTACAACCAATTGGCACGCCACTGGACGTCAATTTGAAACTAAGACTAGGGCTAGACATTTTGTATGTCATGAGCGCAGTTAGTCAGTTCATGCAGGAAACAATAGCTAGTTTGATATAATATAGATTAGTACAAATGTATTATTAGCTCAATTTCAAGTTAGCCCTTATTGTTAGATCGTTTCATTTAGCTACTAGACACATATGCAGAGTATCAAAAAAGATGTGTAACATGGTAGCATGATAGATTGTGTAATTTACGGTGAGCTTATGTTTATATTTTGGCATTTACTTGTGCGTATCAAACAAGAATACTTTGAAAAGAAACATTATAGATGTAACCTATCATTTTATGTATATTGTGCATCCGGAGAGTACGAAATTATATAGAGATTTGAGAAACTATGGTTGGCTGACTAGAATAAAAAGAGAGATTGCTGAATTTGTAGCCAATGTGAAATGCATTGATGGATAAAGACTGGATATCAGTATTTTGTAGGTTTATTACAACTTCCTTCAATTTCTAGATGGAAATGGGAGCATATACTCTAAATTTTCTACAATGACTTCCTGGATACATATTGGGTATGAATCTATTTCGGTTATTATGAATTGATTGACGAAGTTTGCTCACTTTTGGTAATTAAAATTACATATTCACATTGAGGTACGCTTGGAGCTATTTCATGGGAGTGTATGATTGCGTGGAACACCTTTATCTAGTAAAGCAGATGGAGATTCAAAAGTTACAATTAAATTTGGCATAGTTTACAACATGTTAGGTATAACACTTTGAAATTCAATATAATTTATCATTTTCCATTTGACTAAAATTCTGAGCATGTTATTCATACTTTGATGTTGTGCTTCATGTTGGTATGCTAGAAATACAAAGGTGGAAGGGACATTTATTTGTCTTTAATAGAGTTTGCCTATAATAACAATTATCAAAGTAACATTAGTATGACACCATATGAAACACTTTATGGAAGAAAGTGTAGGACTCTAGTTTGTTAGGGTGAAGTGGGGGACAGGCAAATATTGGGTCTTAAGCTAGTGCAAGTAACTACAAATAAACTTAAGGAATCCAAGATTGATTGAAAGTTTCACAAAGTAAACAGAAAAATTATGCTAATATACACGGAAAATATTTAGAGTTTACAATGGATGATCAAGTATTTCTAAGGATATCTCATTGGAAGGGTGTAATGAGATTCAGCAAAAAGGGAAAGCTTCATCCAAGATATTTTGGACCCTAAGAGATTCTATAAAGGGTTGGGGCTACAGCTTATCGATTATATTTACCTTCAGAATTGTCTCATTTACATA